TAAAAAAAAAAAAAAAAAAAAAGACTGAGGAAGTTTTCCCTGCAGGGAAGAACGTGTTGTTGCTGGGTGAAGATGGAGCTGGAAAAACAAGCTTAATAAGAAAAATTCAAGGAATAGAAGAGTACAAGAAAGGAAGAGGACTGGAATATTTGTACTTAAATGTGCATGATGAAGACAGAGATGATCAAGCGGATGTAATGTATGGATCTTAGATGGGGGCCTATAACATAAAGGGCTCCTTAAATTTTCACTGGATGCCATTTCTCTGAAGGACACTCTAGTTATGCTGGTTGTTGAGATGTCAAAGCCTTGGACTGCTTTGGATGTTTTACAGAAATGGGCAAGTGTTGTTAGAGAACATGTTGACAGATGGAAAATTCCTCCTGAAGAAATAAAGGAAATGGAACAAAAGCTGACGAGAGACTTCCAAGAATATATAGAGCAATGAGAAGAATTCCCAGCATCTCCTCAGACATCACAGGAAGACAGAGATGACGGTGTAGTTTTACCCCTGGGTGCAGATACACTTACACATAGCCTGGGCAACCTGGTACTAGTCGTTTGCACAAAGTGTGATGCCGTTAGTGTATTGGAGAGAGAACATGACTACAGAGATGAGCATTTTGATTTTATCCAGTCACATATTCGGAAGTTTTGTTTACAGTATGGTGCAGCATTTATTTACACTTCAGTAAAAGAAAACAAAAATATAGACAGTATATAAATACATCATTCAGAAAGTATATGGATCTCCTGATAAGATTCCTGCAGCTGTTGTGGAAAAGGATGCAGTATTTATTCCAGCAGGGCAGGATAATGATAAAAAAAATAGGAATACTACATGCAAATTTTCAAACATTGAAAGCAGAAGGTAATTTTGAAGACATCATAACCAAACCACCTGTCCGAAAGTTTGTGCATGAGAAGGTAATTATGGCAGAAGATGACCAGGTCTTTCTTATGAAATTACAGTCTCTTTTAGCAAAGCAACCACCCACTGCAGCTGGAAGGCCTGTGGATCCCTGGTGGCTCCCCTGGCAGATCTGTGTCATCCAATGTAGCCAGCGTGTCACCCTTCCCTGTGGAGTCAAAAAAAATTGATCCAAACATGAGAGCTGGAGCTACAAGTGAAGGGGACCTGGCAAATTTCTTCAACAATTTGTTGAGTAAAAAGACTGGCTCTCCTGGAGGTCCTGGTGTTGGTGGTGGTAGCCCCTGAGCTGGGGCTGTGAGGTGGGAGCAGTGGTTTACCACCATCTGCCAAAAAATCAGGCCAGAAGCCTGTTCTATCAGACGTCCATGCTGAACTACACAGAATTACCTTAAAACCAGTTTCAGTTTCTCCTACAACACCTAGAACTCCTACAGAAGGAGAAGCCTCTTGAAAATACCAAATAATGTTGTTTATTCAACCTCCTGGGATAATGTAAACTTGCCTCTGCTTTTTTCTTCAGAAGTGGAATTAGGGATCCACAGTGCTTTTTACAAGATGGAGTGAATTTATGTCTTTTTGTTTTTGTTTTTGGTGGCTGCCCATTTTTATAAAAGGAGTTATACAGGAGAAAAATTATTCTACATTATGTAGAATTGCTATTTGCAGTGCTGTTTTTCATAAAGAAATAATTTTGGATTTTAAAAATCTCAAAATTTATAGACCTGAAATACAACCATGAAACCACATACTAAAGTCTATTTAAATCATATAGGAGTGTTTAGGAAAGGTCAGAATATATGCAGATTGGGCATTTGACTGACTTGGATGTCCAAACTTGTTTAGATAAGATTATTAAAGTCATTTAAAAATTAAAAAATAAAAAAAGACTGAGGATGTAGTTCAGGGTGAAAGTCCTAGGCATTGAGGGTGTTCATGGACTGATTCTTGAGTCTGTTAAACCTAGCAAACCACCTTGCTTTCTGGGCAGGAGGATTACCTGTTTTGTCAGACAGATATAACCTTTGCCATAGGCAATGGGATCTCCCAGAGAGGAAAAAAAAAAGTTAATCTTGCTATTATTTTTCTCCTTTGCATTAATCTCTGTAAATTTCTGCTGTTCTTTCCCTTGTACCAGGACTAGCTGTTTACCTAATCATTCTGCCAGTGAAGGTGGTTAAGGGTTGGACAGAGGAGGTGGGGAAAAAATTGCCTTAGAACGAAAGAGAAATGTTCTATGTTTTTTTTTTCTGGGAGATACAGATTTATTTCAGTTTTAGTAGCTCTTATTCAAATTCATCAGAAGTAATTAATGAAAGCTAGAAGAAGTCCTACACACACGCGTGCACACACACATACCCTTTCCTAGGATTTTTTTCCTTCTTACTTGAATTATGTTGGGCCGTTTGGTCTATTGGTTCAGTACCGCAAGCCTAGTGCAGTATTGTCATCCCTTGCTTTACAACACAGTCATTATATCCCTAAACCACATTGTGATACACAGTGCCTTCTGTTTACGACTCCCGAAACTCCCACTCCATATATCACCTGCCATAAAACCCATCAAACTGCTGCTACTAAAATGGTGCACAGTGGTCTAAGCAGGAGCCAGGCAAATTGCGTGATACCCTACTGTGGTTAATGAGAGTGAAAATGTGGTTAGGATTTTATTCAGGCGATGTTCATTTGCAGGGCCATTGTAGTGAGATGGCAAAGAAAGATTCTTTTGTTAACTTGAATGACAATATATTTTCTATTGTATAGAGTGGCTCAGTGCAGAGTTTGCCAAGTTATTTGTCAATTGTAAATAAGTCAAACTGTGACCTTGAGCGGCTAGATTTTTATTGCTTGGGGTCTTGAAAACTAATTAATATACTGAGATTGTTAGATCGAGTATCAGAAACCTGTTGCCAGATTTAAGTACAGCAGTGATTCGACTCTAATAAAGACAAAAAAAGGAGTTCAAATAGAATATTCCAGTTCTGTAGGATAGATGCAATTTACTTTCTTCAGCCTCTGGGAATTAAAAAAGAAGAAATAGTGTTGTACCTTTTGAATTTTTTTATCCTCCTGAAATTGTACATAGGCAGAAACTCCTAGTAATATCTGTACCCATCACTTAGTCCCTGAAAGTTATGTATCTTCATTCAGAAGTAATGACAATTCAAAAATAATATTAAAAATGTTACTTAAAATGAATAATAAAAGCTAGGCATGGAGGCACATGCTTGTATTTCCAGCACTTTGAAGGCTGAGGCAAAAGGATCACTGTGAGTTTGAGGCTAGCCTGGGCTACACAGTGAGTTCAAGTCCTGTCTGACTATATAGTGGGACCCCTGTCCCAAACAAATACGCCCCAACAAAGAAAAACATCATCATCATCATCATAAACAACAACAACAACAACAACTGAATAATAGGCATGGCTTCACTTCTTAAATAAGTTTTTTTTTTTTTTTGGTTTTTTGAGACAGGGTCTCACTATGTAGTTGAGACTGACCTGGAACTCACTATGTAGCCCAGGTTGGTCTCGAATTCACAGTGATCCTCCTGCCTCAGCCTCCCAATTAAATGTTTTATTTAAAAGAATTCTCACCTCACACTCTCTCCTAATTTCCAACTCAAGAGCTGAAACCTTTTTATCCTCGACAAATGATTTCTTCAAAGGGTTCAACAAATGCAGGCATTTTACTCAAGAAAAAAACAATGCAAACTTCTCTCTTATATTTTCATGACCCACCTTATTGTCTCCTAGCTCTTTTTCATTCTTCTCAAAACAAACACTACATAGCTTGAGAAAATTTTCTTCCACTAGCATTGGTCCACCTATAGAAACTTTAAAGAACATGAACACAGAGTATGTAGTGTCTGGTCTCATTAACTCACTCATTTATCACTGAGATATGAGCATCCCCAGAGTCCACCCTGAGCAATGCCAGAGAAGCGGAATTTGTGCCAGCCATGCTCTTGGCTCTGTGCTCTGATCTTCTCCACTGCTCACCCAATGATGACTGCGGTGCTGCTGCAGCCCCAGAAAAGGGTGCTATGTTGTCAAAGCTATTCCGGGCACCCCATCCATTCAGAACGAGACCCCAGTGCCTCTGCTAGGTACTTCTTATGTTATTCATTCGGCAAACACAGAAATTCTATGAGAAGGTTTTTGGTATATTTCCTACCGTATGAACCTAAGGAAGTGAGACCCATGGAGACTAAGCAACGTTCCCAAGGTCAGTTAGGCAGGAAGAAGCAGGACCCACAGCTCCCTTGGTCTAGATCTTTTTCTTCTCTCTTCTGATCAGCTTTTCCTGGGTTCTTTTCAGCTCAGTTCTCTTCTCTAAAACAATGCTCATCTGGGAGATGTCACGTCTTAACAGTCACATCAGAGAAATCATTGGGGAAGAAGCACTAATGCCATTTTGGAAAGGTTGCTGGCTAGCCCTGTGGAGATTCATATCTCCAGGTTCATATCTTGGCAGCTCTAATCGTGAAAGGAAGTAGCATAATATCATCAAGAAGGATGAAAAGGAGTGGAAAGAAATGTCTCGCCCACAAAGCATTTGTGAATAAAACGAATAAATTCTATGTACTTTTACGAGGCCTTGCTCACCAGTCCCACAAGGACACTGTTGTAAGGTAGAGGCAAATAAATCATTAAGATAGATACAAGAAGATCACAGGGGTGAATATGATTCTCCAACCACTTCTCAGATTGAGACTGTCTGTGATCTGTTTGATTTCTTCAAGGGAAATCTGATTTCAATTGAGTCATATTGCTTTAAAAAAATTCCAACTCGAAACAGCACCACAAAAAGGAAATTAAACTATAAAAAGTACATTAAGGTAAGGGTAGGGATCTAAATTACTGGCCCAGAAAATCAAAGTTAAGAACAGAACCCCTAAGTTGTTCTCCTTAGACATTACAGATGCCACCACTATTTACAATTGCTTGATATAAAACAGTCTACCTTGCAGTGGGTGCTGACTTTATAACATAGCCCTTAGGACCTGGGGATCTCCAAGTACTTTATAAGCAACCCCTTACTTTATTCAGTCTTCATGGAAAAAATCAGATAAATAGAAAGTACTGCTATTCAAGTCAAAGGGGCAGGCACATTCCAGTTGGAAATGCAATCTTAACACGGTGCAGGGGGGTGTTGTGATGATCTGGGGATCTTGGTGGTCCTCAAAAGGCTTGGGAATATTTTCTCCTTGAATCAGCTCCTCTATAATTTGTAATTCATGTTTGTGATTTTAGAGATCTTCATTAAGGTAGGCAGTTGAGTAAAGAGGGCTATTTATATTCTAGCCTTGGTGGTGCCACTAATGAGTTATGTGACCTTGGCCAAGCCTCTTACATGCTCCTCCATACCTGCTATCTGAGGATATTTTGAAGATCAAGCCAAATACCAATGTAGACAAAGTCAGGAAAATACAGAGCATGAAACAATTGTATTATCATTATACAAGTAAAAAAAAAGAAACAAAAAGCATAATTTAAAAAATAAAGCTGAGAATAGGTCACAGGATTTTGCGGGAATGTAGATGTAATGGCAAATTTAATACAGGTATGGTTGTGCCCTTCTTAATTATTTCTTACACCTGGATGTGACCCATGGGAAAATTCTCTCAGAGGGTATGCATTTAGGGTCTTGTATATTTTCAGGTTTCCTTATTAAGTAGAAACCAGAAGCCTTTTTATGTCTCCATGGGGACACCTCCAGAGCTTGTATCAGCAAAAAAACAAAAAAACAAAAAACAAAAAAAAACCCCAAAAAACCTCTAACCTGAGGTGTTGGGGTTAGGACAGGAAGTCAAGAGGGACTCAGCCCTAGAAAATGGGGCCTATAGGATCCAGCCAGCCTGGTGTGCGGCTGTGCTTTGCCCCCAAACATGGGGGTGTCACTATGTATAAAAGGAATTTTGCTTTTAGAAGGGAAAAGAATTTAGAGGTGTGTCTGTGTGTGTACACACACGTGCATGTGCATGCAAGCTGTGTGTGTGGGACAGGAAGTCAAGAGGGACTCAGCCCTAGAAAATGGGGCCTATAGGATCCAGCCAGCCTGGTGTGCGGCTGTGCTTTGCCCCCAAACATGGGGGTGTCACTATGTATAAAAGGAATTTTGCTTTTAGAAGGGAAAAGAATTTAGAGGTGTGTCTGTGTGTGTACACACACGTGCATGTGCATGCAAGCTGTGTGTGTGTGTAACAAAAGTTAGCCAAATGATATTAATCAGACACCTGGAGACACAATATCGTACAATATGTTATCTGTGATCTCCTCTTTTAAGAGGTTGGACATGGCTTTATTTTTTTATTCTTCACTGATATTTGTTTTCAGACTCATTGGATCATTCTTTCTGATGGCTCATCCAACACAATTTGACCAGCTTTGAGAAGATGCTCTGGGGTTTAGAAAGCACTTGAGTCCTTATGACTGGTCTGGAGAAACTTGTG